AACATCTTTATTTATATAAAGAATAAACTCTTTCTATAATAGAATTAATATATAAATCAGAAAACTTTAAAATTATTTATAAATAAAATAAATATATATAAATTAAAAAAGAAATATTTCTATAAAGATCTTATATAAATTCTTTAAATTTTAAAGATTTAATAATATCAGCGCAAATACTTTCTTTAATATATTATAAATAAATAAATAATTAAATAAGATAAGAAATAGTATTATATAAAAGAGATAAAAAAATATAACTTAGATATTTTTATTTTTTTTCTCTTTTTCTTCTTTATTAATTTCTTTTGTATTAACAGTCAATTATTGAATTAGCTTAATCCAATTATTTCCCTAACACTATCAGCTTTTTATAATTTATTCAGATTATAAATTATTTCATAGAATATTTATTTTAATAATAATAATAATTACTAGTCTAATAGCTATATTTTCTATATATAAAATATTTTATTATTCTTACAGATATTAATAAAAATCTTTATAAATTAGACTTTTTTAACATTTTTAATTATAAAATATTCTTTTATAATCTCTTATAAAAATATTAATTATTAGATAATTTAATTTAATCTGTACATAATATATAATTTTTATTTTATAAATAATTTATTTTCTTATTTTATTAGTTAGTACTTAATCTTAGTCTTATAAATAGTATAATAAGATCTTATTTAATAATAGAAAAATCTGAATTATCTGATTACTTATAAATCTTTCTTTTTATATTTTAAAATAATAATTTAAGAAAAATACAATTATAAAATATTTGGTTTTTATACTCTAAAGTTAATTTTTACTTTTATCTCTTTTTAATATTATAAATATATAAAAGTCTTTTTATTTTTATAAGAATATATTTTAAGAATTTATAATTATATTTTTTTATAACTATTTAGATTATCTAGCTGTATCTTAAGAAATTTATAAAAACTTATTTAAAAAAGTTTTTAATAAAACTTTATAATTTTTTTTATATTATAAAATATATAATCTAAATAAATTATTATAATTTAAATTTATTAATTTTTATTTTAGTTATTAATCTCCGCGGTTAATATAAGACTGCAATCTAGAGAAGTTATTATCACTGAGTCAAAACACTAATATTATCTGTAATTATCTACAGATCTCAAGAATTTTATATATATACTTAGATATATTTAAAAAAAGATAGATTTTATTTTTATAAATATATATATATTATAGATATTATTTTTTATAATAAATTTTTTTTATAAACTCTCTGACTTATACAGCAGGTCTTTAATTAATTATAAACTCTTTAATTCTAAACTAGACTCTCTGATTTTATAAGTATATTATTTAGAAATTATTATCTTATTATATTATAATATATATAATAAAATCCTAGACTAATCTTCTCAGACTAGTATAGTTATATATAAGTAGATTACTAAGAGAATTATATAACTAGATTAACTTCATTAAAATTAATTCTTAGTTAAATAGTATAAACTTTAGTTTATTAAAATTTATTATAAAAATTAAATCTATAATTAATTATTATAGACAAATATATAAAACTATAATTTAAAGAAGTTATTACTACTAAGCTAAAAAATTAATATTATTTATAATTATTTATAGACTTCTAGAATATTATATATATACTTAGATATATTCAGAAGAAGACAGGCTTTACTCTTATAAGTATATATATCCTGCGAATATCATCCCTTACAGTTAATTTTTATTAAATAATAAATAATTAACAGATAGTATAATTATAAGTATTATAATATTTATTTTTTTAAATATATATATATACATATATATATATATATATATATATATTATTTTTTTTAATCTAATAAATAAAAATTTAAAATTATTTAAAGATTTATAAGTTCTTTTAATTTCTATAAAAATATCTAGACTTTTTTTTAATTCTATAGACTATAATTTACTTAAGAATATTTATTTTTTACAAAATCTTTTGATTAATAAAGAGTTAATTTCTATTTTTTTTATAAATAATTTTTATAAAATTAAAAATATTATTACAGATATTAGATCTAATATTTTATATAAATATAATTTAATAAATTATCTTATAAAATTGAAGTAATAAAATTTTAAGAAATTAATTATATAGAAAAATATAAAAAATTATATCTATTATAAAGCTAAAATAAATATAATATTATTTAAACTATTATTACTAATTTACTAGCTAGACTTATTCTTATAAAAATATATCTATAAGAATTTATATAGATTATAGATTCAAAGAGTTTGTATAATTATATAATTATTATTAATATTTAAATAACCGACCCCTATGCGGCTTACTGCTCTGAGATCATCTGTAGGGCAATCCCAATATCTTAACAGAGTTAATATATTAATATAATCAGACAAGAGATATAATTCTTTAACTAATTATTAATTCTTTAAATTTTAATAAAACTAGATATTTCTTATATAAGAACAAAGCTTAATAATTATTCTGATTTTTTAGATATTTAGATTTATTATATAATTAATTCTTGATTTAATATATATTAATATAATTTAATTATAATTTTTTTTATTTTATATATAAGCAAGTTCTTTTTTTAATAATATTATATTTCTTTTTATTTTAATTAATTTAAATAAGATTATTATTACTAATAACTTTGTCTATTTATAGATAATATTTAAAAATCTTTTTTTAATTAAATTAAGTAAGAACTGCGGCTGCAGATTAATTTAAATTTTATTTTAAAATATTAATAAAATATATCTATATTATATATCTCTTAATTAATATATTTAAATAGTATTTATAATCCGAGTTAAGTTTTTCTAGATAAGAAAGATAATTAGTAATAACTTTGAATTATTTTAAAATTATTAAGATACTGTTAAAGAAGAAATTGCTATAATTATTAATATTATTAAATAAAATATAGAACTGTTTCTCTATTATTTTTTAAATAATTATCTTAGAATTATAAGAAATTAATTTTATTAGATAAAATCTATACTATATAGATTATAGTCTAATATTTAAATATTTTAATTTAAATAAAGATAAATACTGCTAGAAAATCTTTTTTAATAAAAATTTTATAATTAATCTAAATAGCCGCGGTAATTGCTTTATTATATTAATATTTATAAATATAAAAAATTCTAATATCTAAAGATTATAAGATATAACTTAAATAAGAAATTAAGATAAAAAAAATAATCTTATTCTTTTTATAATATTTTATAAATTTATATATTATATAGAATCTATAGCTATTATAGATTAGAAATTAATATTTTTTTAATTAATTATTTTATAGTAAGATTAAAATATTAAATCTATTAAAATATTATCTTATTTATTATATAATCTGATTTAGTAATTTTAATATATAAGCTAGTTTTAATATAATTAAATTAATTCTTTAAGATATACTTTTCTAATATTAAGATAAAAAAAATATGATCTTTTTAATTATACTAACTATCTTTATAATAATTATATATTTTTAATTTATATTATTTCTAATATAGTAATTTTATTTAAAATCTTAAGTAATAATTTATTAATTTTTTTTAATATTTATTTAAAAGCCTGTCTTATTAAAGTTTTATATATTATTAAAAATAATTTTATATTTTAATATAATCTCTCTATATTATTAAAATTAATCTTTAAGTATCTCTGAATTATAAGCCTGCTTTTTATTAATATTTATAGCTTAAGTATATTTCTTTTTATATTTAGAATATTTTTTAAGTTTTCTAGAGAATTATCTCTCACTAATTATAAAGACTAAAATAATTGAATTAATATAGATTTTCTTAAATATATTATTTATAGTCAAAAACTCAAAATAATTATTTTTGGCCGAATTAAAATAAATTATTTATTTAATAATTAAATATAATATAGCAAAGCAAGATTCTAGACTTTATTTAATTTTTAATAAAAATATTTTCAATTATTATAAGAAACTCTACTCTTTAATCTAATACAGAGTCTGAATATTAATATCTTATATTTTTATATAAATTATATAATATTAGATTTCTAAATATATTTTAATATATAGATAGTCTGTTAAATTTAATTCTTAATCTTATAATAATTTATAAATATTATAATAATTTTAAAAGACATGACTTAATAAAATAATTGATTTTTTAAGAAAGATAATATTAATATATCAACTCTGTTGAGACATTGGGGTTGCTCTACAGGCGATCTCGGAGCGGTAAGCCGCATAGGGATCGGTTAATTCAGAAACTCTTGCAAGTATATCTCTTGTGAGTATTGTAGGGATTACTGTCCTAATATTATCTTTTAGCTAGTTATAGTATAATTATCTATTACTTATTTCTAGCTATTTATAAATACCTTTTTTAAATATTAATATTTTAAGACAAAAGCTGTCTATAAGCAGCATAGTGTCTTCACCCATTCTTACGGGTTAGTCCCTTATCAGTACCTTGGTGGTACATCTTCACTCTTCTTGCCTTTAGCAACCAATACCGGCCCGAGCACTCAGGAGGGCTCGGGTATACACGAACTATTAAGTGTAGTCTGCGCATCTACATATATTGGCTGTACATAGGAAGCAGATTAAATTCCCTGTAGAGAGTTTAAATTGCCTACATACTAGGTATTAAGTAAGTACTACTATGTACGGAGACTGTCACGCAATATCTGGCTCAACTAGATATATAGTACTACAGGAGGTTTAACCAAGGCATAGCAAAGAGTGCGCGTGAAACGTGACTAGCTTTTCAATTTAGCAAAGGGGGCCTTGGCCGATCAGGGCGCCAAACCGCTAGATCTGCCATGCTATGCTAACTTCTAGTAGTAGGCGGTGACATTATCACTTTTTTTCGGTGCCAATCATCCACATATGAAAACCTAACAAAGTACGGAGTACTGTAGTACGTAAAGGCGGATATACAGTATTTCCGTATGAGCACAGGCGCCTGCTTTTTGGTTTGGTCAAGGTTCAAGTCCTAAACCTCTTGATCAGCCGTTGATGTCTAATTTTATGCATAATCATTCGACGCAATGCCATCTCTGAATGATGCCGTGCTCGACACACCTCTTGCAAAAAGGCAGAAAAGAACAAGTGACCAGGATACTGGGAAGCCATCCCAGACACTCGGTTCTAAAATCTTTTCCTCATACCGGGTAAGTAAAAGTGAAGGACTTTGTCCGTCCGAAACACATAATCTATCAGGCAATCTCTTTTTTCGGCATAGAACTCTTTTGTTCCATGCATACTAATTTTTTACCAGGCACTAGGATTAGTATCCACCAATGTCCCCTTTACTTGTGTTCGTTTGGGGAAAGCGACATTCCAGATTACCACGTCTGTCGGGCACAGCTTGCAAACATATGATCTGAAACGAGGGCTTAGTCTGGTTTTTATAAGCAGACCTCAAACTCCGGAAATCATCACTGCTACTGTCGCCTGGCAGGACAGAGTCTTTGCAGCATGGGGAAATCTTCGTCCTGGCTGCAATGGAGGAATTTGGGTTTTCAAGCGCGGTAAAAAGGTTGCGTCTTTAGAATTGCCTTCAGGATTTTCCGAGCCGATCGAGCGGTTACTTGTTTTCGGTTCATGGATCGTCGGTTGCAGTAGCAAGTGCATCCAGGTGTGGAAAAACCCATCATATGAACATTACACCACGCTTAGCCCTCAAGGTAACAAGGGCTCGTTAGAGGAACCGGTGTATACTGGGCAAATCTGCAACATGCCCACGTATCTCAACAAAGTGTTCGTCGGCCGTTGCGATGGAAAGGTTGATATATGGAATGTTAAAACAGGAAGGATGATATACTCGGTATTACCAGTGACTCCGCTAGCCGGCCCTGTTACTGCTATTCAACCGAGTCCTGTGCTGTCTCTTATTGCCATCGCCCACAAGAGTGGAGCATTATCAATCTCCAACGTTGAAACGGGCCAGCTTGTTATGTCTTTGCGAACAGACTCCCCTCAGCTTCCAAGTATCACATCTATTGCCTTTCGGAATGATGGCCTAGGTGCAGGCGAACATGGTCAGAGTCCCGGCGCTATGGCAACGGGTTGCATGGATAATGGAGATGTTACCATATGGGATCTGAACAACGGAGGGAAGGTGATGGGTGTTCTTCGCCGGGCACATAGAACTTCCGCAAATGAGACCGGGTCAGGATTAAATAACATACAATTCCTGGATGGTCAACCGGTGATGGTCTCATCTGGAGGAGATAATTCGCTCAGGACTTGGGTCTTTGATCAATCTCCATTCTCATATATTCCCAGGCCTCTGCATTCAAGGAGTGGACAGTCCGCGCCAATTACCGCCCTTAACTTTTTGCCTTCGGCATCGGATGGCTCTGAGTCAAGTGGTAAATGGCTGCTAAGCGCGAGTAAAGACTGCAGTCTTTGGGGCTTCAGTGTCCGGAAGGATAGCCAAAACAGCGAGATTTCTCAGGGGGCTGTTGAGAGCAAAACCAAACGCAAAGTCCCTTCCAGTGATGCTACTGGAACCCCCCAAACGAACATGCAAAGCGACTTCAGAGCACCGGAGATAACTTGCATCGCCTGCTCTCTCAACCGCGATGGTGGAATGGGGGTTACGACATCCGGCCCAGTTTGGGCAAACCCGAAAGTGACAAGGACGGACGATTCTAGCAAGACAGGCTGGGAAAGCATGGTGACTGGCCACCGAGGAGATAAGTATGCTCGGACGTGGTTTTGGGGGAAAAAGAAAGCCGGGCGATGGGCGTTTGAAACCAGTGACGGAACTGAGGTCAAGGTAAGAGGACAGACATTTTCATCCGGCACTTTTTCTCTAATCTAAGAAATGTGTATGACAGAGTGTTGCCATTTCATGTTGTGGAACATTTGCATTGCTAGGGTCGGCTGGGGGTTGCATTGATATGTTTAACATGCAATCTGGTTTACACCGACAGAGCTTTCCAGCCTGCAGCTCGAAAGGTGATTTGAGCAATAAATTCAGCTATTTACATTTCTCGAACAATGAAGATATGAAGCACACAAAAGCGGTCACGGGTCTGCTAATTGACGGCCTGAATCGAACTGTTGTCAGCTGTGGACTCGATGGTAAAGTGAAGGTGAGTCGAAACTTCGCCCCATGCTTGTGTCCTATGACTGACCAGGCTTTCAACCTGTGGGAACTTTTAGTTCTGGGATCTCGTTGCTGGACTGCTTATCGATCAACTTGACTGGTCTCCCATGACTTCCATCAATGGACTCCGGAGCAATCGCACAAATGAGCTTGTTGCATTCAGCTGTGATGATCTTTCAATCCGCATTGTCGACGTCGAAACTAGGAAAATTATCCGCGAATTCTGGGGTTGTGTGGGTCAGATCAATGATTTTACGTTTTCGAACGACGGTCGCTGGATCATTGCTGCTTCCATGGACTCTACAATTCGGGTGTGGGATTTGCCAACCGGACATCTCATTGATGTCTTCCGGCTTTCAGACACATGCACTTCCCTGGCAATGTCATCAACAGGCGAGTTCCTAGCTACTGCCCATGCGAATGGCGTGGGCATAAGCCTTTGGTCTAACAAGAGCTTGTTCATACCAATCTCAACTCGAAATGTGGACGATGGGAACGTCTTGGATGTCAGTGTCCCTGCCTCGTCTGGTGAAAGTGGTCCCGGTGTTATTGAAGCTGCATTTTCGGACGAACTCGAACAACCTGAAGTAGACGGCCCATTACCATCCATTGAACAGCTCGATGGAGGTATGGTCACGCTAAGCGTCGTTCCCAAGAGCAAATGGCAGACCTTGCTTAATTTGAACTTGGTGAAGGTAACTTATCTCCTGGCGCTTAATTTTCACGATTTTCTGGCTTCCAATTTGTACATTTTAAGTCTAGATTTTTACCTGAAGGCTGACATATTCTAGGAACGGAATAAACCGAAAGAACCGCCAAAAGCTCCTCAAAAGGCGCCATTCTTCCTACCAGCTACTTATGAGCAAACAATCCCGGATAATGATGATTTGAAGACATCAACAGAAGTAACAGTTGCTGAGCGCTCGCGTATCTCGAAGATGCAAAGTCTTAGAGACCCCACTGTTTCAGGAACGCGTTTTAGCAATCTCTTGCATTTGGGACATGTGTCCGGGGATTTTAACACCTTCATTGACTACCTAAAAAACATGCCCCCTGCAAAGGCAGATCTTGAAATTAGGTCCCTAGATCCACAGGTCCGAGAAGATTACTGTGAGTTGACTGTTTTCGTTTCCGCGCTCTCTAGCCGTCTAGATGTGAGAAAGGATTTTGAACTTGTCAATGCCTGGATGGCAGTCTTTCTGAGGATACATGCCGATGCTGTGGCGGAATGCTCGAAGTCAGACGCAGATAAGCCCAATAATCTCAGGGTTGCACTTGCTGCATGGAGTCAATCATTACAGCGAGAGGCAGAGCGTTTGGCTAGACTAGTGGGATACTGCCGAGGAGTTGTTGGCTTTTTGCGGTCTACTCAATGAGATTTTGCGTCTCAGTAATTATTTAGATTACATATATCCTCACATCTGTTTTTTGTGCGTGATAAAGGGAAATGCAATTGGAAGTGAGAGCAAACACTGCAAACATGGTAGTTATTGCTGCGAAAGGTGTTCAAATATATTAGAGGACCTTCTGAGTGCATGCTTCACAGGAGGCAAATAGTTTTGCGTTTGCATTGCAGTTTCATCGCTGCATTGCGGTGCACAAATAGAAATATCTTGATGTGTGTTGTCTCCTAGAAGTTGCATAAGTCGACATACAAGTTCATTAACAGAGCACTCAACTTTCAATTCCTTGATGATCTCACATGCTGGTCTAGCCAGAATGTGTAGCGGTGGTAAATGCTTCAATGCAGCTCTTGTTTGTGCCACTGAATCCTCAGTAAGGCCTGCAATCCCAAATACCTGGTTGAGCATTCGTAAGGAATATAGTACAGACTGAATCTGGGCTAGCAGATGGATGTCTGCCCAATCTGGCCTTTTGTCCATATATCCAATGCTCAGGAATTGTATCAGAGACAGACTGCTTGGGACTGTGTTTGTGGACCCATCATAAATTACATACAGTGCAAACATCCTCCAGTACACTGGTGAAGTCCTTTCAATCCCGAAAGCATCACGGGTCATATTCAGAACACCCAGAAGTGACCTGGTTTGCATCAAGATCCATTCTTTCTCTTTCAGTGGCATGTGATCAGTTGCGATTCTTCCGCCTCGCCTGACATACTCATCAACAAAGGTATGCCTTTTGTTGATTGGGTGCAATACGTTGAGGGTTGAGTAAGCCATGTTTCTGTATAGTTGGCCTTTTGCCCAGGCACACTGTCTTGTAGGATCTTCGTTCAGGACCACAAGGTACATGTTCAAAGATTTGGAAAGTGAGTTACCACTGCAAGATCCGTACTGGGAATAGAGTTCCGAAATTCTTGGGTCAAGAGACTGAGGGTAGCTCCAACTCGCTGCTGCCCATCCTAACCTTTCATTGCTCCGGTACTCATCCGTAAATAGGACATATTCCGGATGCTCTTCCGGTGATTTCTCTGTTGTTTTCAATTGCTGTAGTAGCTGTTCCATTCCTTTGTCTGGACTGTTCTTGAGCTCATATGCTAGAGGTAGCAAGCTTTTGAGTCCAAGCCGAGGAGCGATCAATGCTGGACACAACTTCAGAGCTCTGATATGTAGAAGTTCCGGTTGAGAGGCATCGTAAGTCTCAACTTCAACTGAAGTCAGAAGTATAACAGAGCCCGCTGCACCGAGATCATGAAGGAGAAGATCCGAGTCGTTAGTAAGGACAGAAGAGCCCGTAAGCTTGGCTAGGTAGGCACAATATGCGTCCGCCTCTCCCGGAACCATCACGGTCATATCCGCCCAGGGGAAGTCGTCGAGAGGGATCATTTCTATGCCTTGGACACCTCCCGTGAAGCTGACAATGTTCTTTCGGCACCACCGTTGCTTAAGATCCTCAAAAATTGCAGGGACGATGAAAGAGCTCTCGGGGACATGGCTATACCTTGCAGGTAAGTTCCGCCTCCGAAAGATGGTGTCGGGCTGAATTGTGCGAGCTTTGTATGAGTCGCCGGAAACCGGAAAGCTGCGGGCTGTTTTAGAACGGAGAACTTCGAGCTTTCTCCTCGATTTCTCTAATCGGGCAAGGCGAGTATCGCGCTTTTCATCAGGTAAAGCTCCATCAAAACATATTTTTTCTCTATAACCAATTAGTCTCACTAAATATCAAATTAAAACATATACAACTCGGCCATATACTGTACATTTTAACACCATGGGCTGCCAATTGTAGAAGAAAGATGATAAATCCACAACTCACTTCATCACAAGTCGGCTGCACGTCGGGATAATTGAGGCCAGTATCAGACTGCGATAGCAATCGCGTGGAGATATGATATACTAGACTAGGTCCATCTATGACAACAGACTTGATGGACTTTGCACGATCTAGATCCGGACTGTGTCCTAATACAACTGACTGTGAATATGGATACAAGAGACGAGTGAGGAATGGGATTCCCATTTTGCTCGAGTATGGCTATACTTGTTTATTAAGGTATGGGTCTTCCATGACAAGGGCCGAAATCTTGCCTGCCAAGACAAAGCGATCCACGTTGAAAAGAGCTAGCCTAATCAGGCTAAGGAAAATGATAGTTACTTGGCGTAGATGATGTAAGGTTGTCTGGGGCCTACACATTTATCGAACGGTTTCTGACTTGTTGGATCTTATATAGTGGTGAAGCGGTCATATCTAAGTTCTATTTCGCCTTTTCGCGGACAAGGCAGATATATCCAACATGATCTTCTAGGAACTGTCAATGCCACGAAGGAGTTCTTTGGCTGCAATTAGATCCCCTTGATCGCCTTTCCAGAGCTGATAATGGGAAGATCGATGTCTCACAATGTCGTCAAGCCTTTTCCTTGCAAAAAGGGTGAGTTCGTCAAGGGTGAAATTTGTACTTGTCCAAGAGCTTGACCTTTGCGGAGAAAGATGATCTTTCGAGTGGTTTTGCAGGCGTTTCTCCCCTAATAGTGATGTAGCCTACTTGTATGTGAGAAGTTTTGTATCTTCCAATGCGAAACAGACACCTACCATGAGTAGACCATAGAACCCCCTTAGGTAGTCAGTGCAAAGCTCTACGCTGCGGCAAAAATAACGTATAGACCTCTCTAGTAGCTGACAGGATTCATTCAAATCAGACAACAAGGCACTTGAAAACAGGGTTTCACCCAGCAGCGCATGAATCTACAGATGATTAGTTATCAGACCGCGGCGTACAAATGACAGACGGACATACATTCCACGCATAAGGGACAATCAACAATGCTTCTTCTAGACAGTAAACTGCCTGGGGGCTCATTCCCTGAGATCGGTACAGATATGCAAGTTCACACCACGCTTCTGCATCTGTAGGAACAGCTTCAAGAAGCTTGTTTAGGTTGGATATGGCTTCCATAGGTCTGGAAAGTGAATTCAAAAGTGCAATACGACGCTTTAAAATAGGCTGCCAAAGAGGTTAGCTTTTAAATCACCGACAAATATATCAGAACAGACCAAGTTGACTGGGTTTTCGGAAATCGCGAGATCATATTTCTGCAAACATTCTTCCAGGCTAGGTTCACTTTCTGCAGTCGCCTCTTCGAACAATCCCCGTAATCCGGCTACTTTGGCATCAAAGACACCGAAACGACTTGACAGTTGTTCAATACACAACAGAGCAGATTTGTCGTCCCCGGATTGTAGGCACGAGAACATCAGCTGTTCGAGTTCTCCATAGTTTTCGGGCTCCGGCAGATTATCACCCAATGAGGAGGATAGACCTTTCTCGGTATGAGGTTGTCTTCGAAGAATAATAGGCGCTTTCTGTGCATGGTGGAATGTGGCGATTAAGCCTGGCCCATTCTCAAATTGGGCATAGGACGTGTTCTGCGTCATATTGAGTATTGCGTGATGGAGTGGATTTTATCGTCTTCAGCTGCATTTATAAGTAAGAAAGAAGTAAGAAATCAGTAGTTGAAAAAAATAAAGATATATATAATTTATAAATTTTTCTTAGAGGAATGTCGCAGTTCGTAATAAATGTATGAAGAAGGGGCGAGTTTAGATGATGCTCGGATCTCTGTTTCTAGGACTATTACCTATCTGAGGAGTACTAAGTAGATACTCCGTACCTAGTAATACTAGTACTCAGCATGTACGGAGTACCTTATATGATAGGTTACTGCCGAAGGCGGCGAAGAGGGGGGGAGTTGTACTTGCCGCAACGGGTAGTTGCCACTTGCAGCTATTAGTAGTATAGATAATCTTATCTTATCTTATTATCTTATCTTCTAGCTAGTTATAATATATTTATCTGTTACTTATTTCTAGCTATTTAGAAAAAAAAATTTAAATATTAATATTTTAAGATAAAAGCTATTTATCTATAGTATAATATCTTAATCTATTTTTATAAATTAATCTTTAATTATTTAAGATTTAATATTAATAAGCTGTTCATTAAAAATATTATTATCTTTTATATTTTTATAATTATTTATTATATTTACTTTTGGAAAGTAAATATTATTATAGTCTTTATAAAAGAAATAATCTGTTATTAGAGTAGCTAACAGCCAGATCAGATCAGATTAATTAGAATTTTTATATCTAACCGCCAGATTATAATTAGATTAAAAAAATTTTTATATCTAATTATAATATAGCTAAAAACTAGATAATTAATTATTTTAATTATTTTTAATACTAAGATCTATCTATTATATCTTTTTAAGCTTTAGTATAATTAAGATATATTTAGATTAAATAATTATTAATCTAATTATCTTTATTATTATCTAAAAGTATATAAAAAAAAATTTAAATTAAAAAAATATAATTAAAAAAGAAATTAGTATCTTTTTTATTATTATTTATTAAAAATAATAAGAAAATTCTAGTTATATTAATAAAATTCAGCTTTTTATAAAATTATTATTTTTATAATAAAAAATATATATAAAAATATATAATTATTACTTTATTTTAGCTGTATATTTTAATTATATTATAAAATATTAGAAAAATTATATATTAATTATTAATTAAAATATTAAAAATAAATATATTATTTTTATTCTATTATTTTTTCTGAATTAGACTATTTTTAGATTTATAAATAAAATATAACTTAAAAAGCTATTAATAGAATTAAAAACTAGCAGATAGTTAAAAAGATTATAAATAATTAAATTATTAAAATAAAATAAATTAAATAAATTAAATAAATTAAATAAATTAAATAAATTAAATAAATTAAATAAATTAAATAAATTAAATAAATTAAATAAATTAAATAAATTAAATAAATTAAATAAATTAAATAAATTAAATAAATTAAATATATTAAATAAATAAAATAAATAAATAAAATATATTAGATCTATATTATAATATTATAATTCTTATAAAAGATTTTATAAAAGTTTTTTATAAATCTTTTTTATAAATATCTACTTTTTATTCTAATCTATTATATTTTAAATAATTTTATTTAAAAAAAAAACTATTTTATAATTCTGAGCTTTAGATATAAATTTTTATTAATTAAATTTATTAAAATAAATAAAATATAATAGATATCTTAGCTGTATATTAAATATAATAAATTATATTTATATAAAATTATATCTTAAAATAAAATAAACTGTTTTTATAGAGTTTTCTATTTTTATTTTTTTATATTTATTATTTATAAAATAGCTTTAGAATTATAAATTAATTATAATTATTTAATTTATTTTTAAAAAATATTATTAAATCTTCTTTGTCTATTTCTTAGATTTTTATAAATTATAATAATATCTAAATTAAAATAAACTTTTTAAATCAGATTTTTTCTTCTTTCTTAAATCTTAAGATTATATGTATTATAAAGAATTAAAAGATTATTTTATATTTAGTTTTTTAAAAAAGCTCTTTATTTTCTAGAATTAATAATAAAAAATAATCTTTTTTAAAGACTATATATAAGCTAAAAAACTACTATTTTATTTTAATTAAAAAAAGTTATTAATAATATAGAACAGCTTTTAAAAAAATATATTATTTTTTAATAAAATCTTTTATATCTATTATATTATATATCTTTATATTTTATAATATTTAAAAATTAAAAACTTAGAAACTAGTTCTATAAATTATTATCTTTATAAAAATTATAAAAAAAAATTATTATTAATTATATCTAAATAAATAATTAGTTAAATATTAAATAAAAAATTATTATAAATATTTATTTATTTTTTTAGAATAAATTTTTTTTAATTATTATTTTTCTCTAGATTTTTATAATTTATAATAAATAGAATTTTTAGAATTAAATTTTATATTTTATAATTATTTATTATCTATTATTTTAAATTATTAAATATATTTAATTTAAATAAATAATTAATCTTATTATTTTATCTTTTTACTAAAAATTAAATTTTTCTAATTAAATATAAATTAAAGAATATTTTATAAAATTATTTAAAAAAATATATATACAGCTATTATTAAAATTTTTAAATAATAAATAAATATTAATTATAATAGACTACTGAATTAGTTTTAATTAGAAAATATTTCTTAATTTAATTAGATATTTTTTAATAAAAGATATAGATTATTATAAGATTTTATTAGATTTTTAATTAATATTTAAATTTTATATTAATAAAAATCTAGCTATAATTATTTTATTAGTCTTATATAAATATAATCTTATTTATTAATTATTAAATATAATAATTAATAATATTAATAATAATAATATAATATTTAATATAATCTTAGCTAAATTCTGAACTTAATTTAGTTAGAGTATTTAATTTTATAATATTTTAATTAATTTTAATTTTTTAAAAATTATTTAAAATTAATATTATATTTTTTATTTTACTTATATAATTTAGCTTATAATTAATATTTTTTTATAAAAACTTTAAATTAAGATCTTAAATAATACTATTAAATATATATAAAAAAATAATAATAAAAATCTTAAAATCTTTTTTAATATTTTAAAAGTTTTTAAAAAAATATATTCTAAAAATTATCTATAAAAAGTTAATATAGAATCTTTTTTTATAAAAGATTTTTAAAAATTTTTTATTAGCTAGTTTATTATATTAATTCTTAATTATAAATTTAAAAGATTATAATAATAATATTTTTAAAGCTTTTAATATATATTATATAAATTTTTAAGAATTTTTTTTTTAGAATATTTAATTTTTTTTAATTTATTAATTAAATAATTCAGATAATTAAAAATATTATTATAAATATTATAGATTTTATAAATAATAGACTTACTATTCTTAGAAAAATAAAAAATAAAAAAAAATATAAAAACTTAAGAAAATATTTTATTTATTTTTATTTAATTATAATAAAATAAAAATAATTATTATTATTATACTTATAATACTAAATAAAATGTTTAATTATTTAATAAAAATTAAGTATTTAATAAATTATAAGATAAATTAAGTTTTAATAAATTTTATAATTAAAAAAAATAATAAACTAAGCTAGATTTAAGTTATTAAATAAATAAGAATTTTTTATAATATTTAAAACTTATATTTATAAATTATATAATCTTTTAAATCTATAATTAAAAATTAATATAATAAATTAATTAATAAAAAAATTTTAAAAGCTCTTTATAAAAAAGATTTTATATTAATTTTTTATAAATAGTTTTTAAAATATATTTTTTTTAAAAATTCTTAAAATATTAAAAAAGATTTTAAGATTTTTATTATTATTTCTTTTTATATATTTAACAATATTATTTAATCTTTTAATTTAAAATTTCTATAGAAAAATATTAATTATAAGCAAAATTATATAAATAAAAAAAATATAATATTAATTTTAAATATTTCTTGAAAAATTAAAATTAATTAAAATATTATAAAATTAAATATTTTAATTAAATTAAATTTAGAGTTTAGCTAAAATTATATTAAATATTATATTATTATTATTAATATTATTAGTTATTATATCTAATAATTAATAAATAAAATTATATTTATATAAGATTAATAAAATAATTAAAGCTAGATTTTTATTAATATAAGATTTAAATATTAATTAAGAATCTAGTAAAATCTTATAATAATTTATATTTTTTATTAAAAAATATCTAGTTAAAATAAAAAATATTTTTTAATTAAAACTAATCTAATAGTTTACTATAATTAATATTTATCTAATATTTAAAACTTTTAATAACAGCTATATATATATCTCTTTAAATAATTTTATAAAATATTCTTTAATTTATATTTAATTAAAAAAATTTAATTTTTAATAAAAAAATAAAATAATAAGATTAATTATCTATTTAAATTAAATATATTTAATAATTTAAAATAATAAATAATAAATAATTATAAAATATAGAACTTAATTCTAAAAATCCTTTTTATTATAAATTATAAAAATTTAAAAAAAAATAATAATTAAAAAAAATTTATTTTAAGAAAATAAATAAATATTTATAATAATTCTTTACTCAGTATCTAATTAATTATTTATTTAGATATAATTAATAAAGAATAATAATTTCTTTTTATAATTTTTATAAAAATAATAGCTTATAAAACTAGTTTCTAAGTTTTTAATTCTTAAATATTATAAAATATAAAGATATATAATGTAATAAATATAAAAGATTTTATTAAAAAATAATATATTTTTCTTAAAGCTGCTCTATATTATTAATAATTTTTTTTAATTAAAATAAAATAATAGTTTTTAAGTTTATATATAATCTTTAAAAAAGATTATTTTTTATTATTAATTCTGAAAAATAAAATATTTTTTTAAAAAATTTAAATATAGAATAATCTTCTGATTTTTTATAATATATATAATCTTAAGATTTAAAGAAAAAAAAATCTGACTTAAGAAATTTATCTTAATTTAAGTATTATTATTTATAAAGATCTGAGAAATAAAAAAAGAAGATTAAATAATATTATTTAAAGATAAATTAGATAATTATAATTAATTTATAATTCTAAAGCTATTCTGTAAATAATAAATATAAAAAAATAAAAACAGAAAACTCTATAAAAATAGTTTATTTTATTTTAAGATAAAATTTTATATAAATATAATT